GTCTCACAGCCGCTGACACCAAATGTCAAGGATGTGGCGTGCCTCCACTCAACAACCGGGACTGTAAATATGTGTATACTGTACACAGAGACTGCATTTTAAGGTGACTTGAACACGGAAGGTCAAGGAAGACATGGAATTGTAATTTCAGTGAGGGGAGGGCTTCATATTGCATTCTAAATAACATAAAGTCACATGCACATTCAGACGTCGCTGATTCCATTTGGTTTCAACAAAAAAGTCTGTTCTAATATATGTATGTGACGACAGTTGTAGGCAGAATTTACAGCCGATCTAAATAGTAGGCATGATGAAATATTAATAATACCAGATGTGGACTCGGGTCTCAGTCGAGTATTTGTGTCACAGAATCCTGAAGTTGGAAAATGTCATGTCAGTCCGAGCCCACGCTGCTGCTTCATTCTCTCCAGGTCTGGGACAGTGCTGTTGGGCGCTATCCATGGTGCTATCACGCTCTAGTCCCGCCTGCAGGTCTGTCAGTGTGGTTGCTGTCCGTGGTGCTGAAGCTACGCTGTGTGAGGCATCGACGCTGAGTTGGCGGAAAGTGTGTTTAATGCTTTCTACAAAGCTGTTACTGGCGCTGTCCGTGGTGCTGAGGCTTTGGCCCAAGCGCTCTGTCACTTGCCCTAACTGCCAGTGTGACAGTGCACGGAGGTACACTATCGTAGGAGGGAGGGTGGGAGGGTGGGGGGTAATTGTAGTAAATGAACTGCAGCTACCAGTGTAACGATGTCCAGATTCTCTAGGACTGTGCCCTTAAAATAAATGCCACCTGCATAATCAGTGTCCTCACTGTTCCTCGAACCTGCTCTTATTTCAGTAATTTTCAGTATAATGTGACTGGTGTAGTTAAATTGTCTTATAATGACTTCCCTGCATTTACATCCCCCTGGTGGTTTGCTGCTGCTGCTGCTGCTGCTGCTGCTGCTGCTTCAGTCCTACTTCTCAGGCTTGACTTTATACATTAGAAGACGACTTTCATTTCCTACACGGGGTTCAGTGCAACTGATGCTGGGAAAGTGGGGGGTGAGAGGGGGGGTGGTGTTTAAACCACGACCACTTCTGCACTAAATTTCTCTCTCTCTCCCCCTCTCTCTCTATATATATGCTATATTTGCTCGCTATTGGTGTGAAAATAAAGACATCACTTTGTTGAGACTGCGCTAATAGCAGCGCTGACAGTAATTGATCACATGATTGTTTTAGTAGGGCCTCTGTGATGGACGTCACTCGTTACTTGTGTCTGGGTCTGTACAGTATGTGCAGCAATGTGTGTGTGTGTGTATGTGTGGGGGGGCGTGAAATATCAGTCGATATTCATTGATTGAAAACACATCGATATGAAAAAAGCTGTAAAACGCGATTGACACTGATTGTACTATGTGCTGTGAAATGATTTCCTGTGGCGTGTCGGCGTCACGCTGTTGTGATACAACTGAGAAAAAAGAAAAAAAACAAAACACCGCGTCAATTGGGTTATTGCTTCGTTGCTGACGCAGAATCGATTTTTCCGAATCTTTTCACTTTGGACAAAATCACTCGGAGTCCCAGAGTGCGCACTTTCCCTCTTGCTACTTTCTGCCTGCGTGTCTCCGTGACCATCCTCCCTCCTCTCCTCTCCTCTCCTCTCCTCTTCTTTCCTCTCCTCTCTCCTGCACCCAGCCACTGAGCTCCGTCTACTTCGTGCCCCAAACCGTGAGCTGCAGGGGCTTTTCCTTCCTCGTCTTTACGACTAACCCTCCTCCATCCTAACAGGCGGAATTTATTGGGACCTCATTTTTATTTATTTTTTTCATCGCCGCGGTCTTTTGGGCAAAGCAGTCCGGGCTGCCGGAACCGCGGAGAATGGTGGAAACCTAACGCAGGTGAAAGGAGCTTTTTACGACGCTGCGGTACAGATGATGGAACACTTAGAGCATTAACTCAACGCAACGATCCGGCACCAGCGCGCAAATCTTCACTGAAATTTAGGACGAGGGGAAGAGGTTAAGGCAGTTTGAAGAGAGAGAGAGAGAAAGAGAGAGAGGAGAAAAAAAAAAAACTCGAAGGCGAAGAAAGACGTGTGTCACTGAGAGAATCTAAGAATTTAACTTTGATCAATAGTCAAACTGGGATTCCTACAAGGAAGATGTGACCTTTTCTGTGGCGCACAGTCAAACCGAGTAAAACCCTTCATGAGCGAAGCGGCGCTTTGCTTTCAACTCCTCCATGTCGACACGTCTTTATTCTGGATTACACGCGGAGATATGCGCACTGGATTGTGAGATTACCGCCTTTCGGTTTTTACTTGTCTTTTCTTGAAAAAAAAAAGAAAGAAAGAAAAAGAAAACAAACACAAAAAACCAAGGGAAGTCCTCTCTGCGGTCAATGGCTCCAGTGTCAAGGTTTGCAAGGCGCAAAGATGCCAATCGATGGCCGAGGATGTCGTCAACTTTCTGGGCTGTGGTGCTTCTGACAGCGCTGCTTGTCCTCTACTGCGGTAAGTTTTTTTTTTTTAGAATTCGATTTATTCTATTCGAATTCGAATTCGATCTATTTGCGGTTCAATTATCGCCAACGGTGGTGGCAGGTGACCGTGACAGAGGTTGACCGTCAGGTGGTGAAGCTCCGACCACAGAATAATCTCAGTGGTATTGGTTAGAGGATCGATCCAGCCCTAGACGGTTTTCCTCTTCAGCCTTTAAACGGTTATTGAAAGAACACACACACACACACCAGTTCACATAGACAAAACGCATCCCCAAGCCCTGTACTCTAACCTGTAACTATTACAAACATATGACAATCACCTTAATCCTTACACTAACTTTAATCCCGCTTTAATCCTAATCCTAACTCCAGACTAAACGGTGAACCTCAAATCTGTGTCACTTTGTGGGGATCTGTAAAATAAAAGCGTACGTGTCCCCACAGCAACAGCGTTTTACCCCATGTACCCACACGTAGAGCAATTACACACACACTCTCACACACACACACTCACACATACACATAAAAACTCAGAGGAACCATGAGCCGGCACTTTTGGCCAGGAGATGTGTCTTAAGTGGCTGTTGAAATTAAGTGTGCCAGAGGCCTAATTAAGTGTCACGTGACTTTCCCACTTAGTCACGCTTTTATATGATCACACACACACACACACACATCCCATATTCAGGGCTGTTTTTTGCTGTGAGGGTCAGAGGTCAAACGTCTGTCATTGTTGTTAGTGTCGTTAACGGTGACGTAACAGTTTTGATGTGAAAATAATCCTCCACGTAATTGAACTGGCAGCAGCATCGATGCAGCGACGACCTGCAGTCAGACGTACACAGGCGCACCAGCGCCACACAGCAGCCCCCCCTCACACCCCCCCACCCTCAACTCCCCCCTCGGTGGATGAATGTGCCTTTTCATTCCCTCTTCTTCTCCCCCGGCTCTCACACCTTCTCCTCTCCTCGTCGAGGGGTCTCTGAGGGGCAGAAACCTCAGCTGGAACGCTCTGCTCCACGCAGCGTCCTGTACGTGTTGGGGGTAAAAATAAAAAAAAGGAAGGCAAAAAAAAACGAACCCTTTTTGTGCCGTAGCCGTGATAAACCGTATTAAAAGAAAAAGAAAAAAAAAAGGGAAAAGGAGTGTTTTATATTTGAGCGGAGCTAATAATTAATGTAATAATCCTGTCTTTGAGGGCATTAGTTCTGCTGATGTCGTGGTGAATAAACAGATTTTGTTACTTAATCTTTTTTATGGAAAGTTTTTTTTTTTTTTTTTACATACGCTGTCGACGTCTGACGCCCTCTCTCTCCCTCTCTCTCTCTCTCGTCTTCATGTCCTGCACTGGACGGTGACAGAGTTTTCTTTGTAATCACATTCAAGTCAATTAATGGCGCTGGGGGCGGGGGGGGGAGGGTGGGGGGGGGGTGTGGGGGGGGGGTTCCAGTTTATAAGGATGTTAGCGTCTGTGTGCAGGGGTCTTTTTCCTCCCTGATGTTGCCTACGGCCGTGTCCATCGATCCACTGCTGGTGTCCAAACAATAGTGCTTGGATGTTTGTTTCAGTCAGCAGTNACCTCCCACACAGCAACACTTTACCTCTTCTTTAACTGAACGATGTCAGTGATGACCTGCACGTTTGTGTCACTGTTTTAATAACAACAACTTCCAAACCCTGACCAGTGGAATTGTTTAGAGAATGAGTTAAAGAAACATGTTCTAAAGATGAAGGGAGAAAAAAAAAAGACATCCTTCAAAGCATTCTTCTTCCATTTCTTTCACTGCAGCTCTCACTTTATTCCTTTCTTGTGGTCCTTTCAGCTGATAATTCTCCAATCATTCCAAACATGCGGCTCAGAGCTTCGCGCCGCTCTTTTAACTCTGGGCTCCTTCTAATTCACTCCCATTTTGGTTGACCTTCCTCGTCTCTGCCGTCTTCTGGTTTCTTCCTCTTTTCATATTTATCTTACCCTCTTCTCTACTTTGTTCCCGTGTCCTTTGATGTCGCGGTCAGTGACGGTCGCCCTTCTATCTGTTCCTTTTATGTGCTGTGTTTTCTTTAAGCCTTCCTTTTTCTTTGTAGCATTTATTTCAGCTTTGTCTTTAATGCCTTCCACAGGATGTCATTATGGCTGCGCTCTTGTCATCGTCTTGTTCTCCTCTCCTCTCTTACGTTCCACTCCTCCTTCTATCATCTCCTCTCCTCTTCTTCCCTTTTCTCCCTCCCCTCCCCTCCACCCTCTCCTCTCCTCTCTCCCCCTCCTGTCCATCCCTATTTCTTACCAATTAGTGTGCATTATTGAGTGTTCATTCTGTGACTATTTAACTGTTTCCTATGTTGTTCCTTTCACAAACTTTTACCTTGTTTGATTTTTTTGTTTTTTTTTGCCACTATCGTCGACACATGCATTTCCTTTTCACCACTGTGTCGTTCCTGCGTTGGGAGAAAAACAAATCTGTATCATCTGAATGCCTTGTTTACAGTGTTTGTGAGCGGCGTGGACTATTTTACCTTGGGTGCTGTTGTGTAGTTACAGTCGGTGGTGCTGTGGCTGGTGATTGAGTGCAGCTCTGTGATTAAAGCTGTGACTCATACGGTTCCTGTCACCAGGAATCATCGTCCAACTTTACTCTGCCTGCCATCTCCACTCAGATCCATCTGAGAGGGATGGATTCAAGAGGAGGGAGGTGCACGGTTATATAAATGTTGTCCAGGGTTGGGGAGAAGAGGGGAGGACGAGGGGGGGGTGTATTGATCAGAAGAGCGAGAGGTGCATGTGAAGAGGGGAGAACGTGGGGGGAGGGAGGGTTTATTGATCAGAAGAGCGAGAGGTGCATGGAGTTTCAAAAGTTTAAAAAGTATGGCACGAGAAGTGCGTCTTAAATGAGTGGGGAGGCAGGTTTGTGAATAGAGAGTCGGTAAAGAGAGAGGGAGAGAGAAGGGGCGTGAAGGGGGGGAGGGGGGGGGGAGGGAGGGTTTATTGATCAGAAGAGCGAGAGGTGCATGGAGTTTCAAAAGTTTAAAAAGTATGGCACGAGAAGTGCGTCTTAATTGAGTGGGGAGGGAGGTTTGTGAATAGAGAGTCGGTAAAGAGAGAGGGAGAGAGAAGGGGCGTGAAGGGGGGGAGGGGAGGGGGAGATTATTGATAAGAGCTCATCTCTTTAACTTTTTCTCCACCATCAGCTTCTGTTGGAAACTCTGATCACACCGCAGTGTTTCCAGTATTCTCTGAATACATTACAAGCGCAGGAAACGATAAAGCCGCGTAATGTGCGCACCAGCGCCCTCGTCTGGATGCTGTCTGCTGTGCATTTGCTTGCTAACACCTCCCATTATGCATTCATGGGGCTGGAGCTGTGCATGTGAGCTGGACTACAAGGCCAGCTAATCAGTATGCTAATCTAAGCTGTGGATTTGCTGAGGAATGTATCAGCAGTGCAGTCCTGGTCTGAACTGAAGAGCGACGACAGATTCATCCGCAGCAGGATCAACACCACGGGTTCAAACAGTGATGGGCCAAAAAAAAAAGAAAAAGAAAAAAGAAATTCACTATGTTTCAGCTGAACGACTCAAACGACTCCAGTGTAAATACTGCTGTTAAACCTGCTGATTCAGACTCGACCAGCTCGCCGTGACGATGGCGCTCAGGTGTAAAACACACACACAGAATGAATATGACGTTAAAGCCAAACTGGGTTCACGGACGTGAGCACGAATCATCGGTGCCAGGATCCAGGGTAGTACAGAAAGAAAAGAAAATGCACACAACCATGACCTACTTGAACATACATGGTCGTCAAAGCGAAAAGATACGGATCAAGAAAGTGCACAAAGGTCAGGCGCACACACACACACACGCATGAACGTTCCCGGCGCTGTTAAGGACCAGTGCTTCCACCGCCGCCGCGAACCGTCTCTCAGCCGGAGCCCCTGCCTTTTCCCTTCTCCCTTTTCCCGTTTCCCTCTGCCTGTTTGTTTATTACTCACAGTTGTTGTGCAGCTGAAATCGATGCGTTGTTGACTGTTACTGAGAACTGCAGCTCGGGGGCATCCGTGAAGAAACGATGGTGTGACCCACCCAGCCGTCTCACGTCCTCGCCATGAGGCCTTAAACCACTTAGTCTCGCAGAGGAAGTGACACGAGGAGGCCTCTCTCATGCACGCAAACACATACACAGATTTTTTTTGTTCGCCGACGTCTGAGAACATTTTAAGGTTGATCTGATTTACCTGCCAAGGAAAAAAAAATGAGGGAAGGGAGAGAGGGAAAGGGGAAGGGGGAGGTGGGAGACTCGGCTGACCTCGAAAAACGCAAGTACTTGTAGGTGAACACATGCACACATTTGAATATCTTATCCTATTTTCAGCATAGCCTGGAGCTCCTTCCTCTGCAGGGAGGGAGGCAGAGAGAGGAGCTACTGTCAGGAAGCAGCAGAAATGGTTGCCGATGGCCTGGGGACGTAGATTCATAAAGGGAGTCAACTTGTTCAGTTCTCCTCTGAGAAAGCCAAGAGCCACATTATGGACTTCCGGAAATGGGGCCAGAGACTGTTTGCATATTTGAACCGCTTTTTAGACCTGAAGTTTAGGACATTTTTTAAACACCTCGACCAACGCCGTCGGAGGTAAAGGAGCGGGGATTTGGGGGTGGAGGAGTGGGGGGGGGGGGGGGGGGGGGGGGGGTCGATGCTGCCGAGGTGAAGCAGCACGTTTGGTAAAGGCGAGGGGGGAAAAATTTGGCAGAGAACAGCGGAGAAATACTGAGCGGCGAAGGGATCGTTTGCAGAGTGCAAAGGCAACCCGATGAGGAACGGCAACAGGGCCGCGGGCGGCACGTGTGTGTGTGTGTGTGTGTGTCGTCTCTCTGTTGCATCGTGTTCTTGTTGAAAGTGTGGGCTTTGCAGAACATTCTACAATTAAAGAGTAGCCTGTTGATTGGGTTTTTCCGAGCATATGGTTCTCTTCCGTGAGGCTCGGAGCATCCGTCATCGTGTGAGATTTAACAGC